TTTTTTCCAATTCTCAACACTGCCTTCAGTGTATATGGCTGGCCTCTGTGCTCCAATAGCTGTGTTAGGAAGCTCCTTGAGTCTGGACGGAGGTACAAGGTACCAGGACAGAGCTGGGAAATAATGCACATGATGATGGAAGATGCTTTGAGGAACAGGACCTGCATTGGAATGACTTGGCTGGTGTTTACTCCTGATGGTCTATATAGTCTCATCCTTTTGGCCTTTCACCTTTTGGCCTTTTATGAATGTTTTTTCTCTTATTCTTTCGGCCTTTGTGTTGGGGCTGGCCACCTCTCTGTACCTGTATTTTCTTTCCTCTTTTTAATAATATTTTTACTTATATTAATATATATATATATATATATATATATATAAAAGGAAATTTTATTAATAAAAGAAAAGGATACAAGGTGGGGGTGGCCAGCAACCCCTACAAAAAGGCCGAAAGGAGGAATTACAATAAAATGCCAGCTCCTACTCCCAGAAACAAAAACTCCAAAAGTGAAACAACAAGAGAAGAAATACAATAAACTGCCAGCTCCTAAGGAGAATAAAAGCCATGTCCGTCCTTAGATGCATGATATCCTGGTCTGACTGGAAAATGAAGTGGTGCGTCCTTACCAGCATGCTCTTGTTGCATACAAGAGAGAACTACAAAGGCTACAAGTCATGAGGCTGAAACTGGGCTCCATATGCCTTATCCTGAGCTTAGAGGTCCCTTTAACCCGTTATGTTGACCTCAAAGGAAGACACACCATAATCTATTCCCTCCCTAATCTGGTATCACCCTCAAGGCATAAGGCAATGCTTCCCCCTTGTTGCAGCAAAACCCAGCACTACCAGACTAAGAAACCTTCCTTCCTTCAAACTATTTGCAAGTTAAAGAGCCTATAGGTTATTCTATAGCCCAAACAGTAGGGTTTAGGCAATCAAAAGAACCCCGAACTGAAATAAGATGAATAAACAAAGACTAAAAACTGGAAAAGAACCAAGTAAACCCAGATTGAATCCTTGCCCAGATTGAGAGTGAGTCATTCCTGCATTCCGCATATATGATTGAGAACAGCAACCATATCCTCATTGGCATAAGCAAGGTAGACCGGGTACTTAGCTCCTTGAACTACTGCCGCATCTATGTATTCAAAGCTTTTCATTGTCTCTCTAGTAACCCGAATGACTTCCCCTGAGTAACTGAGTATTTGTCCCTTGTTTAGAGCATGTAAGAACTTTGTGTTAGCCATGGATTTCCGGAAGAGGTTGAGGTTGTCCTTAATTACTTGATCAAACTGCTTCATACTCTCCTGGTCTATTTCTACATCTGTGGAATGTGTTTGAGTTCTTTCCAACTCCAATTTCAGTGCTGAATCCATGAAAGCCTTATTCGCAGATTCCTTCTGTCCTTCCACTTCTCTACCATAAAGCCTCTCACTTTGGGCGCATCTCCATCCATCATCCCTGTCTATTTTAACATTCCCGGAAATTCTAGTAGTTCCATTTAGAAGTGGCAGTTGGTTACTCTCCAAATCCTATCTTCTGATACCCTAAGAAACTGAGCTAAACCCTTGCTAAAAAGCCTAAGTCCAGATAAGTTGTAGCCAGCGTGTATGAAAATGTGAGAGCTTCCTTTATTAGAAAAAAGTCTAGCATAATGTCCAAACCTATTTGATTCCCATACCACTTTAAGGGAAGAATCGCCATCATAACAAGTGATTTCCCAAGATTCTTCTGAGTAATCCGGCCTACTTAAGATGTCAATCAACCGTGTGGCTAAAGTCCTTGAAATTGATAGAAGACGGATCTTACCTGATTTTCATTCGGAAATACTGATGCACTACCCGTCTTCTGAGACCACAAAATCTTTGCTTTCAATTGATAAAGAAATCTGACCGGCTTCATTACTGAAAGGCCCTGAGCTCTGTCTCCTCCACCTTCGCTGTGTGTGAGCTGGATGATGAAACTTGGGACGATAATATTTAGAGTACCACGGCCGTCGATTCCCATAACCCAGAGATTCTCTTCTATACTGTGGTCTTCCCCTCCGGTCTTCATCGGAATTGAGTCGCCGCCAGTGGGCGGCGTTTCCCCTTCTCTCATCATCCCTGAAGAATCGCACCTTCACTTCAACAATCTCTTTTGTTTGATCTCACAAGAGGAAAATGGAGAAGAAAGGAAGAGCACAGTAGCATCCCACCATCAAAGCTGACTTTGTTTCCCAGATCAAAGCAGGTTCAGTTTCCCTGTTATGGAATCCACAGCCGATTTACTTCCTGCGCGCGTTAGCCGGGCCCCACAGCAAGAATGGTTTTTGAACCAGAAGCAACCTGAGTACGCCTGGCATCACCAACAAAAAAGGTGGGGAGACCTATGCTCTCAACTGCTTCCTTCACCTTGTTCATTTCTTGCTGATTCTTGCGCGCCATGACTGTGTGTGTGTGTGTGTGTGTTTATATATATATATATATATATATATATATATATATATATATATATATATATATATATATATATATATATATATATATATATATATATATATATATATATATATATATATATATATATATATATATATATATATATATATATATAT